GTTTACAAGCCCGAGCCGCCGTTGGTATGTATTCACGGCGTCAATGTGATTTACTGACAGCAAAGAGTTCAACCTCCTTCGAATGGAGAGCGCCGTTCGTGAGCATGTCAAATGCCATTTGGTTACTCCACAGGGGTGCACAATTTATTTTCAAGCCTGATATCTTCAGCTTTCGCTGTCCGAACACGGTGGTCAATGTACTCCGTCGACAGCAAAAGGCCACGAAATGCAGATGACTCAGGAACCCATCGGGTCTTTATGGCGCCAATGCTAGTAGGATTTTACCTGTCAATGAACGCTTGGGACCATAACGTCCAAATCGCATACTCCGACGCCCGAACGATTCCCTCTGCCAACTGTCCTCTTCTTTCAACGGGCCTTAACTTTTGCAGAGTTCGACCTATATAAGAGCTCCGGATTCCGGCTTGAGTCTCCAGCAAAATCAGTTCCACTCTCTCACCTGCGACTTTACCCACAAGTAACCAAGAATGGCCTACTCTAATCCATCTGCATACGGTGCGTCCACAACCATTCGTGCAGTCGCCGACGGGAGGCTAATTATCTCTCCAATGTTTTTAGCAACGGAAATTACCCAGGCTTCCGGTATGATTGAAGATGGCACGCACTTTGCACATACTAACCCTCGTTCAAGAACTCAAACAATGGTTGAGCGAGCACTTCGTATTCGGCGATCAGGGACTATCCAAAATTCCCATCAACAAAGAGATGCGCTTCGACGATGTAATCATTCAGGTATCCTGTTCATCGTTCGGTGATTTGGGTGGAGCTGTCAACTGAGCAAACGATTACGCGGTTTTTTCTAGCTTCGTGGATGGATGGATAACTTCTGCTTCTACGAGTTATTTGTGTTCCTCAAATTCGTCAAGCTCCCAGCCGAATTTCCTCCAGTTGCCAAGCTAGATGGTAATCTCTGGGACGGTGAAAATGTAGCCAAAGTCGACTTTGGCGGTATCAAGGGACCCGTAAAGGTCTGCCTCGATGGCGGCTGGATGCGTTTCGCGTTCGATTTTACCTCAATCCTAGGGGACAGAAACAGTGGCGATGTTCGAGTTCTGCCGGCTGGAATGTGAGAGTTCCGTTCTTCATCGCAACTTGGATACTGACAGTACTGGGGATAAACTTAGTCTCTACCCTCGTGCTCCGCCTGGCAAGGACCAAAAAGAGAAGAAAGAAGAGGAGAAGAAGGAAGAGGGGAAAAAGGCAGAGGAGACGAAGGCCGACAATGGAAAGGCCACGGATCAAGACAATCAGGGAACTGAAACAGATTCCACAGTCAACGAGTAGTTGTAATTGTTCGTACGAATTTTCCATCATGGTTGTGTACGCAGACTTTCCACTATTCATGAATGGCTCTTATATCACTCACTGGGGCAAGGTTGGCCATTGGTGAGAACACTTATATCCGAGGCTCAGAGAGCTACAAGTCCTCTGTCGTCGACGACCCCAAGGAGGGATGTAGCTCATCGAAACATTCGACTTCAAAAAGCCTCTGCGATGAATAGGCCCGCATCGACCAAGGCTTTGACCACTTCTGTTTCGGAACTTGTGAGTACTGAGCAGCAGCACGGTATTGGTGGGGCATCGACATTAGTACTTACAAGCATTGATATGTCATACTAACCGGCCATAATGAGATAAGCAACTCTGAAGAGTAGCGGACCTGATGAACATCGTGATTTCAAGGTTACGAAACCGACGCGGTTGACAGGATAGGTCACGCGAGGAAAGTCCACCGTGAAATCGATATCATCACGGAGGTAAGGGCCTGTATCGGTGGCGATGGATCTGGCTTGTTTTCACCTTCGAGCAGTGACCATCGCCGTACCGTTCTCACTCATAGCGTTGGGCTCAACATGTTAGACTCACGCAGAGAGCTTCTGTCACTGTTAAATGCTTGATGCAGAAGGTTACAGATTTCGTCATAGATTACCCGAGGTCGGTGGCCTTCATTGTCTACAACATTCATGCCTCTGACTCACGTAGGTCCTCCCCAGAATTTGAAGGGCATCCCTAGGGGAATCTCGAACGCAATACGAGCGTATCACGCACAGTGAGGTGATCATCTGAATAAGATGGAAGCAAAGTTTGCTGCATCGTAAGACAGTGTCCGTGGGCTTGCCAGTCGCTCTAAAGGTACGTCGCTACTCTCAGTGCTGTCACCCGACGCCGCGATTGATGCTTGAGAGTTAGAACGAGATCTAGCAAGTGATGCAAAAGGTTGTGCCAGAGTATACTGGTCTAGAATTTCTGGATAGAACCAGCTATTTGAGTCATGATTTCTCTCGCTTCACTCTCTATTCGGACGGTGACGATAGTGCCATCAATCCATAATGTATAATTAGGTATCTCCCTGACTGAACCCTCTGGTAGTAAAGGACTTCTAGCGTTCTGGGAAGCAAAATTCATGCTCAAGATATCTGTAAAACCAAGTAAGTTCAGCGGAATATCATGTTCCCCGCACTTTTGTGCAATGGAGAGCACCGTTCGTGGACATATCAGGTGTCGGTCGGTTACTCCACTACCGCAGACTACCGCCCATGATCTGTTCCCAAGTCTGAGCCTTCGTCGGTTGCGAGTTCATAGCGGTAATGTGCTCCGTTGACAGTGAAAGGTTGCTTGGACATTGGACAATAGAGAAGCGCCTTTCGTCAACATATCGCATGTCGATTATCTAGTAACTGTACAATGGCTCACGATCTGTTCTCACGTCCAAGACGTTTACTCTTGATCCGCGGTTAATGTACTCCGTTGACACCAAACGTTGTGGAGTACGAATGATTCAAAACCCATCAGCTGTTCGCGCCACCCACGCTAGTAGGATTATACCTGTCTGTGGATGCTCAAGCCTCAGTAGCACGTCTTCTATTCTACATTCTCCGACGATGAACAATCCTTTCTGCCAAATATCCTCATTCAATGGGATATTATTTTTCGAGGGTTCGCCCTATATAAGAATCCACGATCCATCTTGGGTCTTCAGCAAACAATTTGGACTTCTCAGTCCCAACCCTCACCCTCAGATATCAAGAAATGGCCAATTTTAACGACTCTGCATACGGTGTGTTCGCGATTGTTCGTCTAGTCGTGCACTGCAAGCTCTTAGCTAATTATCATTTCACCAATCCTTTTAGGAACGGGACTTGCCCAAGCTTCCGGTGAGTTTCAAACCGGCACATACTTCACACATGCTAACACTCGTCCAAGAACTCAAACAGTGGCTCAGCGAGCACTTCGTATTCGGTGATCAGGGCCTAGCCAAGATTCCCATTCACAAAGATATCCGCTTCGGCGATACAATCATGCAGGTATGCTGTCCATCATTCGGTGATACAGTTAGAGTCATCAATTGAGCAAACGGCTACGCGGTCATTAGCTCCGGGGCTGGTTGGATAATCTCTGCTTCTACAAACTGGATGTGTACATCAAATTCGTGAAGCTCCCAGCGGAATTCCCCCCAGTCGCCACACTCGAGGGTAATCTCTACGACGGTGAGAACATAGCCAAAGTCAACTTTGGTGGTATCAAGGGGCCCGTCAAGGTCCATCTCCAGAGCGGTTGGATGCATTTCGGGTTCGAATACACCTTGACCTCAGGGGATAAACACAGTGGCGACGTTCGAGTTTTGCCGGCTGGAATGTGAGGAATCGATTCGTCATCGGATCTTGTATACTAACATTATTGGCATACAAACTTAGTCTTTATCCCCAGGCAAAGTGCGGGGACACGGTGAAATTTGTGGATACGCCTGTCGACGCCCAGGTCGACGTCGGCACTGTTAGACTCGAGGTATGCTCTTTTTGTTGGCGATCCGACCGGATTTGACCACCGAGCGGTTAATCCCTGATTATCCAGTTCCAAGGATCGATAAACCGTGACGGCTACTACGAGATCAAGTTGCGCATGCGCTCTATCCCCGGCCCTGAAGGCCCCGGCATTGAAGTGATGTACGACCCCCCATATCATCTAAAGGGAAACTTGTGTTCGGATCGCAAACCCACTACCACCAACGTTGAACGGCCCGAAGGAGAACCGATGCTCAGAGGGGAGGTTACACTCAAGCTCTTTGAGAAGAAGTTGTGTCTCGACTGTTCATTGAGCGTCGGCGATAGTGAACCCGTCTCGAAGACGAATGAACCACTTGTGCCCTTTGAATGGTGAGGATATAATCAGATCTGCGATTTCGTGTACTGATGATGGTGCACCAACTCAGCCCCAAAAATGACGCAAACACCGACTAGACATAGAATGAGATAAAACCAGTACAGTGAATTTTAGTTCGCGAATGTTTGTATTGAAACCGGATCCGGGAAATTGAATCGTTCTACCTTTAACTTGGTCAAGTTTGGGGTTTCATGACCCCATGATGCCCCCGGAAGCGAACACCAGGAAACGACCTCGGTGAGCATCGATTCAGTACGAGAAATGGAGATAAAGACACAAGACATTTCAAGTGCGCCAATCCTCCGTACCTTGCAATCCCCGAGCCCCCATGCTTCTTTTGTAGATTTAGTGTATCCGAAAGGAAGATTTCTCTCACTCTGGGCCTGTGGAAGCCCTCCTGATTCATAGATAGTTGTCCAAACCACACCACAATATGGCGACCGACATCCTGCTACCCAATCCCTTTTTTCACTGCTCGTCATATATGCAATATTGCCGCTATATTACTCGATGATACAATGGAGTCCTGCGACTATGGCTGTACACCGGTGCACATCGACAATACGCAGAGAAGCTCGTTAGGTTGGGGCTTTCACATCCAAGATACCACACAAAGCTTATCTCGACCGAATAGACACTGATTTCGAAAAATGGTATCTACTTATGAATGGGTTCCCAATTCCGCCCATCATCGCTCGGATGTCCATTTTGAGTACCGTGGGAAGTGGGTTTACTTAAAGATCCGGTTGACCTCAGACCTTCCTCTGCGAAGTGACCATTGACGGGCTATAGGGACATAAGGGATTGTGATTCGTATCGGCCTGATGGTCTAGTAGTATGATTCCTTGTTAGGGTTCTGGCATTGGTAGTTCTGATCTATCGAGGAGGTCCCGGGTTCAATTCCCGGTCAGGCCCGTATATGTGGAAAGATTCCACCTTTTTACGTAGCCTGTAAATGCGTCAGGTTGAGTTGTCTCCTTCATATGTATGGTCTGAGCTTTCTCTCTCTAGATTGATTCAGAGCATGTTGAGATTGTCATCTTGTAAACCGAACGGGGATACATAGTGTAGTTCCAGCATCAGTGCTACTTTCAAGACTTTGCAACGAACTCAACCTCCTCCCGAACTGATCTCAACAAGTCCGCCGTCTTCATCTTGGGCTCCCATCCCAAGCTTTTTGCTCGTGTGCTCTTGACACGGACATTATAAGAAAGCATATCGTGAAGAATTACCCCCTAGATTGAGACGAATTGAGACCGTGAGCCGAAAGAAAAAGGACGAAACAATTTGGAGCAGAACGCACAAATGGACCAAAGACCTCTACCGCCCCTTCCTTCTTTAGTTGAACGACCTCAGCACTCGGGAGTTTCCCGAGCGTGCACAGGGCTTCAGCGACTCCTTTGAAGAAATCATAGTGCTTGTGTTCGTCCCCTCCAACGAGGAAATGGCCTTCTAGACCATGGGGCACGTCCAGTGACTCGAGAGCGACCTTTTTGAAGAGCAGGAGGTATAAATCGGTGACTAGCTCATGCAATGATTGATGAAGGTCGGGTCTTCAATCTCATTCAAAACTCACGATCGTCCAAATGAACATTAGGCCAAATCGTTTCCTGGGTACCCAGGGAGATACCAGAACCTTTCGCAGTCGACGCTTGAACAAGGTACTGGTAAAATGGTGCCCTCAGGTTCGAGATCCGTGCACCGCCTAGGATATTACGCGGGGTTGAAGGGGCACCATATACCAGACTGGGCGCTATAATGTAAGACTTCACGTAGCCTTCGACAAATAGCGATGACTGGATGAGTGGAGGGCAAAAAAGCTAAGAGTGAAAGACCACTTACCTTGCCTATCGGCGTCGATGCATAGCAGCTCGGTCGCCCGACTTGAGGGTAGGTTGTCCGAAGGGAGATTTCGCATTTGTTCGATATTTCCGTCGTCCCAGATGGTCTCTGTGTCGGGTTCTTGTGAGTTAGCTAAGAGACCTGTTCCAGACTATGCGAATGAATCAGTCTGTCAACCTCAAAACGTAACGAACATTGATAATCACAGTGTGAATGAGTACTGGAGTTTCCCCTGTAGCCTCAAAACGCTTCTTCAGCCCTTTGAGAAGACTTTCAGTCGCCCCGACCTCATTGCCAGGGCCCTTTCCAGCAAATATACTCAGAAGAGTGAAAAGAGCGGCAAATGAGGTATTGAACGTACGATGCACAACAAAACATCTGCCTTCTCAGCCTCTCTCAAGGTCAGTTCCTCATCGGATTGAGTCCCTACGATGGTTTCAACCCCAAATTCGTCCTGAAGTCGCTTTGCCTTCGCCAAATCCCGTACGATCGCACGAAATTCGAGATGATGAATGCCCTCTTTCTCCCTGAGGTCGAGGAGTGCGCTCAAGACACTTCCACCAATGTAGCCTGAGATACGGCAAAAGCCGAATGAGCTCCTTCGCACGGATTGAATCAAGAATACAACTCACCTGTTGCTCCAGTGATGAGCGCAACAATCTTCCTGTGGTCACTTGTCTGCGAAGTCATATTTCTGTGCGGTCTCTGAGCAAGAAACATCGAGTTTTTATAGTCCTAGTACGGGCTTAATATCAGTAAGCATCGATTCGGATCTCTACCGAAGACTTGGCAGATGTGCGAAAATTATGAAGTTTGGATGAGTGGTAGCTCTGCTTAATCTCGGAAGAGCATCCGAGCGCTCCTGGAAGCTCCAGAAGTATTCGAGTCTGGATATTATCACACTCTCGTGCCCCAAATTTAGCCCACCGCTTACCAACTGAGCTCCCGAATATTTGTGACGCCTATGAACCTCGATAGCTCTATGTGCTACGTTAATTCCTTTTGGCTGAATAGCATTCGAAGACTTTGTATTGTTCAGAAACGTTTGATTAAGATAGCTTTCCATAATTCAGAAACGCGAACTTAAGGGCAGAACGTAATCTCCAAGTTCACCTAGAGTGGAATGATTAATCCGAAATTACGAGAAGGATTTACAAGAGAAAGTCTAGAGCTTACATCGTTGTTCTGGCAAGCACGCTGAGAGTGAGTGTCTTCGGGGACACGGAAGGCGTTATCCGATGGGCAGTTAGCGTCGAGGCCTACAAGAGAGAAGGTAATGCAGGTGTGAGCATTACTTATACGAGTGGTATGTGGCGTTACGTACAAGCATTGCCATCAGAGCAAGGGCCGGTGTAACGAAACGAAATAGGGACGTTGAAGGCGAGACTAGAGGGGTTGGCAGTTAGATTACCCAGTATATAGAACAGGAACCCTTCTGATTTGTTGACTTACGGAGGGATGAGCGAAAGGTTCACGCTAGATCCAGAACCAGGTGCGTTGGGGTCAGGGTTCTTCAAAGTGATCTAAATATCGAAGGAAATTAGCTCTCGAGATTCAAGTGGGACGGTTGGATATCATACCTCAGTGGTCATGCAGTTCTCTGCCCGCCCGAAAGAGATATTTCATTGGTATTCCTGGGTATGCACGAGAATCGAGAGTAGCCTACCTCCGTTGAAACCACACTCCCCGGTCTGAAGGTACGCAATAGTGGTGGCGATAGCCTCATTGGCCGTGTATGGATCCCCAGTAGAAACAACGACACCTCCTTCACGGATAAGAGTAGGAGTCCCGCGGTTACATCTGTTACGTGGTCAGAACCTTTCGAACTGAAACGAGAAGCAGGCTCACCTGTTGATCATAGTGATGGTATGGGTCTCACCGAGAACGGTGGTGGCAGCGGTAGCAAGGACTGCAAAGGTGGTGAGCCAGGAGAATTGCATGATGTGAGAAGGCTTGACAGAGAATGAGCTGAAGTGATGATCCATCCTGGCTTGTAACAGCAGCCTTTATAGGCCTCAGTACGGCCTCATTCACCGGCAGATCCATCACAACTCCTTGTTCCGAGAGATTAAACCATCATCGAGGTGGAGTGTTGAATAACTATAGCTCTGCAATCAGTCGCAAGCGTTCAATCCACCTTAGACTGAGAATGCAGACACACCTCGATCGTCAGCCGCAGCCTTGTCCGACCGCGCTCGCTACTGAATTTACGCGTCATATTCCAAGCCTTTGAGCTGCTGTTGTATATTCTTGCGAAGAGAGCACAAACCCAAGGAGCACACAAAGCTCATTCAGCGCAACATTCTTGCCGCCGCATCACGAGGCTATGTGGGCGGCGACCTGGCAAAGCGGAGAAATGTGTTAGTCGGTTGCGTCAGAGCGGGAAGATTTAAACACTTGAAACGGTGATAATCACCCAGGCTGGGAACACTACTCGCGCTGCCGATGGTCGCCTGTTACTTTACAAGTGAGAACTGCATGGGCTTGAAACGTCAGTGAGCGATGGCCGTGACGGACGATTCAGTCAGAGCGCATATTCAAAGTCGTTTTGATTTTGATCCGTTCCCCCGCTTATGACGTCGGCATTGATATGAACATTCGCTTTATATTGTTGCTGCGACTTTGAAGTCGTTCGAGCTTCTCGTATTTGATTGACAATCAAATTGAGATGTAACCCCAAGCAGAGTGGGGAGTCCGAGCGAGGCGGAGCCGTAAACCTCGAGTGACAATCTGGGTGCAGTGCTGGCGTTCAGTTGAAAATGTAGAAAAGAAGCAAAGGCCTTGAAACAAGTCTTTAGAGTGTATACCGAAACTCAGGTGCGCGATCCCCCATCGCCCTAATCTCCTCAGCACTCCTCTTCACTCCCCGTTCTTCCTCCTCCCTAATAACACGCTCCTTCCGCCCATTAGCACGATGATACGCTAGCGTAACGATGGGAACTGTGATGAGTCCGATTCCGATGAACATGAGTGATATTCCGTCTACCGATAGGCACTCAGTTTCAGTAGTCCAATGCAGTAAAAATATTCAATTAGTACTCACGTCCAAGAGCAAAACCCGACCCATCCCCATCATCTCCATGATAAACATTCGAAGCCACGACTCCACTCACATTCGCCAGGCCAACCTGAAAGGCCATCCCAACCGCACGTTTGTACTGACCCGCCAGGTTGTTTCCTAGCCTGACGAAGATAACTCGCTCAACGACACTCAAACCTTTGAGCTCAAATACTCACCAGGCAACCACCCCAGGTATCCCAGAGTACGTCCCCATAACACACAAAAACGTTGCAAAATACTTGACCCCGGATGAGGAACTCGAGATGATAATCGTGAATCCGATGAAGGTAAGAACGAATGAGGCGAAGAGAAATGGAGACCGGAGTTTCGTTTTATCGGATAGGTAGGCGAAGGTGCAGAGCGTGATTGCTGTCGTGCCGGCGTCGTAACTTGTAAGTTCACGCAGCGGAGGATATCGAAGAGGGTGAAAGACTCACTGGCGGCGATATATGGAGGAACCGTAAGAAGGTTGCTTATGGTGGAAGGGTATCCAAAACTGTCAGGAAGAGGATTCACGCCCATCAGAAGGAGGAAGGATCGCCGTTAGCAAACCGAAGAAACTTGCTCTTTAATAATCGTTCTGTCGCCCAGAGTAAGAGAACAATAGTCAGTCGGGAAGTACACTCAGGTTCCAAGTCACGGTCTAACTTACGGTAGAAACAGGGTGATCGAATACACTAGTAATCTCTCGTCAAAATCGCTGGGAGAATCGAAGGAAGGAGAGAGAGCTTACGTGGACACCCGAGAGCCAAATCCACCAAAGCGAGGGCGTATACCTAAAAAGCAATTTTAAGTCAGACGTGCTCGCGCAATTTCTTTTGCGACAGCCAAATCACCCACCTGCCAGTCGGTAAATGCCTGGATGATGTACTTGACAGAGAACCGCTCTTCCTCTCCCACACCGGAATTATCGTACTCTGTCGGTACGCGCATATGAGTAATTAAAGGGACGAACCGAGGGAACACCACTCACTCTTCCGCCGAATCACATAATCGCGCTCCTCTGGCGTGA